TTTTAATTTAATTAAAATAAATTTAATCATTAATTCTTTCTAAATCCTTTTTTATTTTAAAAAATCTCTCATAAAATATATTTTATTTTTAATTAAAATAAATTTCATCCATAATCGTTTTTAAATGTAAGTACTTTTTTGGTATACTTATTTAATTTTATAAATTTAAATACTTTTTTGATTCAAAAAATGTTTAGAAACTTAATCGTTCAAAATATGAAAGTCTATTACCTCATTTTCAGACTTTTTCATTATTTTTCCATATTAACTAGTTGTATATGTCATAAGAATGTATCTAACAGATTTTAGAAAATCCAAGTAGTTATTTAACATGTTTTGAAATATTAAAGAACTTATTTGTTCAAGAAAATTGTTCAGAGACTTAATCATTCCATTGAGTTTTTTTAAACTTTTCTTTTAATTCTGTCTAAAATTATGTTGTAAAATGATATAACAACCATTATACATTTTAATTATTTTTTAATTAAAAATACATTAAATAAGAGCAGTAAAAAATTGAAGAATAATTTTCAAATTGATGTATAATACACGTATATAAAAAATAACCAACACATGTTACATACAGGAACGGACCCATAAACTTTTTCATACAATTACACATTCTAAAACAATATCGTTGCACCTTTTACGAATCTAATTTCTTTTAACTTATGACAGAAAGACAATACGGTGGCACATAACCACCATACTGGATTCGTCCCTATTTACATAAAAAATTTGTAACAATTTTTTAAATTATATTTAAATACGTATTTTGGATTCTTATGTCAAAAACAAATTAAATATTTCTTTCTAAAGTTTTTGTGTAATGTATATCAAAATGTTTTTCTTCTAGTCAAAGTTTCCTAAAATTAATAACATATAATTTACAAAAATGTTGTATAATTTTCACAAGAGATTTTAAAATATCTGTTTAAATATAATTAACAGATGACTGTAACTGCAATATAAAGTTTGATCAACAATATGATTATTTACGTATCAATCAGTCCACATCGTCATCCACGACCCGTCTCTATTATTGGTATGTAGATGCTACTTGCTTCTTGTGATAGGTATGAGTTGAGAATATGTTCTAAAAGACTTGAAAATTCATCAATTTATGTATCATGACATTTCGTTGATAATACACAAGTAAGATATTCCAGCATCCCATCATATCAACTCAGTTCCACCGTTAGGGAGAAAAAAAGTGGATGGTAACCAGATTATATATTGATATCGATAACTTACGTTTTCTTTTTGACAAAGACCACCAATATCGATGATCTTTCACTCTTTAACCACAAGGGTGGTGCTTGATTGGTTTAAACTTATGTTCCAAAGATCAAAAGTGCTTGGAGGTTACAGGTTCAAATTCAAGGAGAGATAAAATCGACCATGAAGGTTCAAATGCGGTGACTTTGGGCTACTCGCAAAACAGGTGGTTGTCATGGGATTAGTCGGCTCGCATAGCGGGTTGGATATCCAAGTTAATCAATTTTTTTTTAGTAAAGGTAATTGTATCATAATACAACTATGTACTTTTAGACTTTTAGTTCTATTTTTTATTGAGCTAAATTTGCCAAGCGTTCTTGTATACAAATATTGCACTTCATTTGTAAAGCTAATATTTCAATCTCTCATAAAAATCACATGAAATCCGAAAATTTTCATTTTTATTGAAATGATTCGTCAATTGAAATTTTCGATTTTTACTAATGATTGAAAAATTCAGCCGATGTTATATCAACTTAATATTGGATCCGAGTATGCTTTTATTATTATATATTAAATCTAGTTAAAACAAAATTTATTGTTATTGATCGTCTTTTAAAATACCTGAAATGTGACAAGTATACAAATTGTCAAAATTAAAAGTCAAACTAAAATTCACAAAAGATATTATAATGAAGAATAAAATCCAAATTGAAGGGTACAATAGCTTCCAAAAATCCCAAAAATCTTAAAATTCATAAATTATATATTTTTTAAGACTTTTTATTGATAAGATTTTGATCCAAGAAATTAAATGACAATAATCTGTAAAGTTAAACACATGACCAGGTTCAGTATTTGATTAGATATAAGTATGATCACAGATCATGGGTGTCTGGTTGAAGGTTATGTGACATAGGGGATGAAAATCATTATTGATGGTTGGTTTGCCATTGTAGATGAGTTATTTACGACTAAATTAAGGGGGGAAATTATTCACTAATATCAGTATTCTCGTCATTATTCAACATTCTTATTACTATTTTTATTTCCATTGCGTTCTCAATCCTAAATATAAACCAAATCCAACAAATACCTTATTACTATTTTTACTCGTTGGTCGTCTCATCGTGTCAAAGCTTTCTCTGGATTTTGGGCATTACGGTGTCGTAACCCAGTTATCTATTTTTCGTGTTAGTTGGTTTCAGTTGGTTTTACATTTGTTTCCTTTCCTTTGTTGAGCGTCCTGTGTGGATTTTACTGGGTTTCGGTTGTGTTCTATATCCTTTCTATGTCTAAGTTGGCTTATTTTTAATTGGTTATGTTTTGTTGGACCTCATTGTTTTTTGGTTGATCCCATTAAAAAGAGTGCCTTTCTAAAAAAATATATATTGATTTACAGGGGCGGATAACCCTTAAGGACTGGAGGAAAGGCCTCCAGTCAAAGATTAAAAACGTTTGTTGACTAGCTTAAATTTTCTATTTTTATCCTTGTCTTACATGGTTTCTTCCTAGTTCCATATGACCATATGCTTGTCTCTCCCTAGTCCCATCTAACGTGCCCCACCCCATTAATTTCCTGGATCCGCAACCGTTGATTTACATCCCACCAAATGACCATAAAGGTGTATTTGTTTGAAGAATTACTAAGTGACTGTTTACCATACACTTACCCTGTAATTGTTTACCGGTAAAATTTAACATTATTATCTACTTATTGGGTTAAATTTTAGTCCACGAAAATGATATCATATGCAACAATTTACCCGGTAAGCGCTTACCGTGGTAAGAGTCGTCGTCCTCACTTATATAGTAAGACTCTTGATCTTTGTCTGACTCTTACCGGGTAAGATTCTTGGTCGTTGCCATATTCATCAAGGTAATGTTACTTGGTAAACGATTACCTAGGTAAGAGTTTGGTAAACGGCCCCTAAATGCTATTGACTTGTATTGTGAGAATATTGAAAATTGGGGACTTTATGCAACTTTTAGAAAACATGAAGGTCATTCCTGTAAAATTGAAAAAAAGGGGGAAGGTTGAAAAGGAAACAGATCCGCGCCTGTGGCTGTGGCGAACAACAGAGGCGTGATATGAAATCTGTAATCTCAAAAAAGCCAATTTCGCCTCCCTTAATCCAATAGATTCCTGATTTAGGTATGTTGATTCTGGATATAATTTCACGAATGCATGTTTTGTTACTTCAAATTTTCATTTTCTTTGTAATGTAACCAAATTTACGACGAAATTTTATCATTTAGAGCACTAAAGATGGAAATTATAACCTAGATTTTGTTCCTGCTGCTGGAATCATGCTTTGTTTCTGATGGAATTCCTTTGAAAAATCTTGATCTTGGTTTTTCCATGTATATATTTTGAGGTCGAAAAAAGATCCATTACGCGATCGTACAAGAGTTCAACGAAGGTGCCAGATACACAGGTTACAGTTAGGGGTTTCAGATTATTAGTTGCTCAAGTCTCTCCATGTCTCCACAGAGCTGCATTTTGAAATCCGGATAAAGAACTTAATACTTTGCAGGTACAAAATTGACAAGGATCATGATAGCAAAATGCAGCTCATTTCCTTTTCCATTTTTTGGGTGGTTTGGAATGAGTAATTGGATGCATAATATTCCTGGATCATTACTGTTCTTTCATTGCTGATTAAAGTCTACAGATTCTATAGATGGAGAGATTAAAGAATTGTTTAAATGGGAGAAAATGATCTGGAGATGAACTAAGATATGTGTGTTTCAGTGCGTGTGTGTGTATGTGGTGGTGGTTCTAAGTAGATGGACTCTGTAGAAACCTACCAGCATCCAGAATCTTTTTGTGCTTGAGGAACATAATCTACTCATATACAAATAGGAACAGATCTAACAAAGAAACCCACCAGCATTTATAGAATCTTTTGATGCTTAAATTTCGTTAAAATAAATTAGAGGATTAATTTGAAGCCCTACCATGTCTCCCTTGGGCATTAATCTTCACTAGTGACTCTATACTTACAGTTTACAGCTTTGTGACTTTGTTTCAGGTGTCGAATTGATATCTTACTGCACGAGATGGATCTCTCCTTTAATTATGAGCCATCATCAGCTGCAGGATCCGTTTATTCTTGTAGACCAGAATCTGAGTTCTATAAAAGCATATCCAGGAGGACTTCTTCTGTGGCTGATACCTTTCAGGAACTAGAAAGTGTTGGAGAGGTTGTAACAAGATTTGAGCTGGATATGGCATGTGTTTGTGAGAAGCTGGCCAATTTGAACTTACTCTTGATGCATGTGGAAGCTATAGAGAGTGACTTTGAGGCCTTTGTATCTGAACTGAATCCAAACCCAAGTGACCTCTATGTTAAGGCACTAACGTTCGACTTTTTATCTGGGTTTCTGAATTCAGAGGTGACAGTATTAGAGAATCAAATATCTGATTTTCAGATGGAGAAAACTTCTATGCAGGAGTTTCTGTCTTCAAGCAGATACTTGGGAGATACTTCCACAGAGATGGAAGATATGTTGCATGATTCAGAAAAATCATTGCAGCAATCAATGGAGCAGCTCTTGGAAATAAAAGCACGATCTGCCATGTTCGAGAAGAAAGCGTTAAACTTTGCTGAAGAAGTAACCCGTAAGATCCTTATTCAACGTTTTTTTTTTCTGTATAATCCATGTCAAACTAAGGGGATGCTTGGTTGTTTTTACATTAAGTTCTGTATGAATAAAACTGTCTGTGTGGATTAATCTGTTTATATAGACCGAGAAGTTTTTGTTTGGGAGGATTTTTTCATTAATGAAAAAGCATGTTTTTTTAATTTAGGGGCAGGTTTGGAAAAAACTTAGCCTTCAGCATAAAGCTCCCCCCTTATAAGCTTATTGAATAAGTCACTTTTTAATCATTAAGCCACTACCAAACAGTCATGTATAATTGACCAAATAAGCTGCGAGTCCCATTTAAGCTTGTTAAGCTGCTAACAATAAGACCTTCATTTTTCTTGGGTTATATTGCTATAATCAAATTAAGTAGTTATGTTGAATTTGAACTTATACCAATTGCAATACGAGAAGTTATTACCTGTTATTTTCATTTACTTGATGTGTTTTCAGGTACGGAAAAGGAGAAGGACAAGGACAAGGACAAGGACAAAGACAAGGAGAAGGAGGAGGACAAGGATGATGCAGTGGTCTCGGGCAACGATGATCTTCCAGAACTGAAAGACAAAATGAACATGCATGCCGTGGAACATCAGAGGCATATTTTAAGGATGCTTGAGAAATCTTTGGAAAGAGAACTAGAGTTCGAGAAGAGGGCGAATGAGTCAACTCAGATTGAAGAAGCTCTGACAATGAGGTTGCATTCATCAGAACAAGAAGTTCTTTTTGCAGAAGAAGAAACTGTAATGACCCTGGAAAAGCTGTATGAGGCTGATCACACATCTGAGATTCTAATGGGAATCTCCAAAGAATTGTTGAAGATGTTACAATTGGATCATAAACATTCATCAGGCTTTGGACATCAAGAAACTGCCAAAGAAGGTGGTGTGAAAATGGATAATAGTGTGAAATGTTTGAAAGCACGAATTGCTGAAGCAGAACGCAGAGCTGAGAATGCTGAGGCTAAATGTAGGGGTTCATCAGAGAAGGTGGTTTTGCTCGAGAAAGAGCTGAGGGATGCTAAAATTAAGCTACAACTTCGTAAAACCAGGAAAAATAGTTTAGAGGACATGGAGTCGATGGTGGTGATGATGGTGGGAGTGGAAGAGGATTTATACTCAAACCCTAGATTTCATTGAAACATTTGACCTTCAAGCCCTGTATATATACATACATACATACATACATGATTAAAGTTTTTCACATTTTCTTGAAACTTGGGCAAATTTTAAAGATTTGGCTCAGAACCACCCATTGAAGTTGTAAAGCATTCAGAGTGTTTTGTTCATAAAACTAACATGTGATGCATACATTTGTGAAATTGAAATAAAGAATGATGGTGTATGTTGAGGAAAAGAAGGGGGTCTAGAGTCTAACCGATATGGTATGGTTCGTCAAAAGGCTTGGTACTATTGCGAGCCTGAACCAAGCTTCTTCTGAGATGGCTCGCGCTTGACGAGCCCAAAAGAGTTAGATGAGCTTAGTGCAATGCATATACTATTTAACACACATATGAATCATATGTGAAAAATATATGAATAACTTTTTCTCTTAACTGAGTGAATCATATTTGAATTACCGTTTGAACCTTCGGTCTCCCCCTAACCTAGTTATATTAAGACATCCTACTCTTAACAATAATGCTCAACTGTGAAACAAACTAACTATTGACTCAACCAATCAAGGACAAAATTAACATATGTTTTGATATGTAAACACTTTGTTTGACTATGTTTTGTGTCAAAACTACTGATAGTTTTTAATCTTGTAATTTTTAGGACAAATTACATGAAAAAGTAACGTACTTTTAACTTGATTCCTATTTTGGGTGATGTACCTTCAAAACTTTTATTTTGGTAACTAAGATGTAAAGTGTTAAACATTGTAAGTACCCGAGTAAGTGGTTGAAACATTAACCGGTTACCATGCTGATGTGACGACTGATGAAATGAAATTGGGTTGAATAGCAAATAATAATGAGTTGGATACCATATCACTCGCCACATCAGCATGGTAATCGATTAATGCTTCAACCGGTTACCTGGGTATTTAAATGTTTAAAACTTTACATCTTAGGTACCAAAATGAAAGTTTTGAAAGTACGTTACCCAAAATAAGAATCAAGTTAAAGTAGGTTATCTTTTCATGCAATTTGTCCTAATTTTTATTATCTATTTATTTTATTACGTTGATGCTACTGTGAATATAATTTTGTGAATTTATTAAAGGTTTACACGTTGAGAAAGTAATGAAATGAACTTGTATGATAAGAATATTCAACTTGAGGGACTGTTATGTGCTTTAGAAAACCACAAGGTAATTCCTGTAAAGATTATAAAACGTGGGGGAAGGGGTGGGTTTCATTAAATGAAACAGATCAGCGTCAGTGAAGGAGAACATACGAGTGAATCGGAACTGGCGAACTGCATATCATGAACTGATCTGCTTCCTTAACCCAATAAATTTCTTGAGCAGGTATGTGGGTTATAGATTAAATTTTCTCGAATTTCCGATCATCTTTCTGTTTCTTCCTGATGGTGTTATGATTTATCATTCAGAACCTGTCTTAGTGTTACGGAGGAAAATTGTAAGGTGGCTTCTGTTTGTACTGCTGAAATCGTGTTTTACATCTCATTTTTCATGGATTTTCTTCAATTCGTACACAAGATAACTCGATCTTGAGGTTTCCAAAATTATCTTAATTTGGAGTTGAGAAAATTATGGTTACCGGTGAGGCGGTGACGTGATTGTAGAAGAGTCGAAGAAACGCATTTTTCTATTTCTGTGTATGTCTGATCGTTTTGTGTTTCGTTAATCGTTGCAGTAAGTCTGTTTTAGGTTGAATGGCTTAAGTTTCTCAATTCCCAAAAGAAGCTACATTTTGAATTTTGGATTAGTAAACCTAGTACTTTTGAGATGCAAAATTGGAATGGATTTTTTGTAAAAGTTAAACACCATCATTGCACCATTTAGTATGAAGTTTAACGTGGTTAGCAATATTTATGACTATATATTCTGAAGTTGAGAAACAGCTTGATGAAAATCAAATTCGACATGTAGCTTCATACTTTATGGTGGATCGATTGAGTATGTGGCTATTTGCAATTATTATAGCACTTTATGATTCTCTTATTTCTGGTCAAGTTCTGTAGAATCTCAAGTCAAAGCGAAGAGTAGGATGAAGGGTACAAGAAGAGTTTATCATATTTTATTAAGCGAAGAATAGTGCAATTTTCTTTTTGGAGGCTATATATTATATGAGTGGTGTTGTGATCATTAAGTGTGCGACACTAATCGTCCATGACGAGTGTTATCTATAGAGACCGACCCAAGGAATCCAATCTCAAAACGGTAAGGGGAAATTAGGAGGTGAAGTCATATGGCCGAATATACTTAAGATAATTTCCGTGTTAGTCGTATAGTACACACATAATCCATAATCATATCTCTGATAATTATTTTTGATGCAAATCTAAGCGTTATTATGATAATTATATTCCTCCACGTTCCCCCTTTGCAGGTTCTGAATTGAGATTACAGCTGGACTGTTAGGATGGATGCCATCACCAATCCTGATGCATCTTCTCCTCCCGTATCTCTCCATTCTGGTGGACCAGAATCAGAGTTAAATAAAAGTAGCACATCTTTAAGGAATTCTTCCAGCGGTGATACACTTCGAGACTCAGAAAGTACTGAAGGGATTATAACAAGATTTGAATTAGATATAGCATGTATTTCTGAGAAACTGAACAACTTGAACTTACTGTTGATGTATGTGGAAACTAAGGAAAGTGACTTTGAGGCCTTTGTTTCTGGCATGGATCCTGATTCGACAGTCAAGGCACTAGAATTCGACTTATTATCTGGGATTTTAAATTCAGAGGTGAGAGTGCTAGAGACACACATATCCGATTGTCAGACAGATAAAGCCAATGTAATGGAGTTTCTATCTTCGCGTAAACACTTGGGAGAACCTCTCATGGGGATGGAAGAGATGTTGCATGATTCAGAAAAATCATTGGAACAATCGATGGAGTTGGTCTTAGACATAAAAGTACAATCTGCCCATTTTGAGAAGAACTTGTTAAGATTTGCTAGAGACGAAACCTGTAAGTTCCTTATGTACTGTTTGTATATTAGGCCAACTGAACTATCTAGATCACCATAATGGGCTTAGGTTAAATTTGAACTTATTCCGGTTGTTTTATTACTATTTTCGTTTTCACCGAGTTAATTAAAACAGCAGATGGAGATGTAGAGAACAAAGATGTGGATGTGGACTCCTAAATATAGAAATGAGAAAGATAGAAATAGTTGTCCAAGTAGACCTTATAAATTGTAAATATCGGATCCTTATTATGCGGTCATCTTCTAACTTTTTTCATTGGCTATTCCAACTCTGTCCAAAATTCTGTTTTTGACCCAAATTGTTAGACCGAATAGAATTCAAGTTTATGATGGCAAAGGAGAAAAGGTTAAGGTTTAGTTGTTGGTGGTGGAGGGCTTCTGATGCTCTTTACCTATTATGTATATTTTATTCAGTGTGCGGATTATGTATTCCTTTTCTAGCCCTTCTGTGAGAATTTTAGAGTTGGGTATATTGAACATAGGTTCAGCTTCTATAGGAAAGGGTTTTCTGCATAAAATCAGTGTCTTCTTGTCTTCTATTCTTCTATTCTTGTTGTGTTTGCCATAAGAGATTATGTATTGAATGGTGGGAGATTTTGATTAGGAGATTGATAATTATAGTTTCTGCTGGCACAAGTAAAAACCTAATACTTACTATTTTCATTCTTCAATTATTTCCAGGGAAAGAGGACTATACACAGTCCTCAAACAATGGCTATTTTCCAGAACTAAAGGAGAAAATGAAAATGCAGACCGTGGAACATCGGAGACATATCTTGAGGATGCTTGAGAGATCTTTGAAAAGAGAACTAGATTCGGAGAAGCAGTTGAGCGAGTCAATTCAAATTCAAGAAGATCTAACGATGAGGCTGAACTCGTCACAACAAGAAGTTCTTTATGTTGAAGCGCATGCTGAAATGACCTTGGAGAAGTTCTATGAGGCAGACCACGCATCCGCGCTCCTAATGGCAATCTCTAAGGAATTATTAAGTACAATCAAGATGTTGCAGTTCAATCTTAAAGGTTTGGTTCATCAAGAAGCGAAATTGAAAAGTGATTTGCTGGCACTTAAAGAAAGCATTGCTAATGAGAAAGCATCTATGGAAGGGACCATGGAAATGAAAAATACTATCAGAGATTTAAGAGAACAAGCTATTCAGGCTGAAAGAAGAGTTTTGAATGCTGAAACCAAGTGTCAGGTGCTGACAGATAGCTGCCAGGAACTCAAGGACACCTATGAGAAAGTGGTTTTACTTGAAAAAGAGCTGAGTGATACTAACAGCAAGCTACAAAATGTGGAGGCATGTTATGAAGCTGGTGAAGAGGATAAAACCATGTTAAATGCAACAATCATAGACATGTGTGATGTAATCCAGGACCTGAAGGAAAAGGTTTCACAAGCTAAATATCAGACTGAGATTATGGAAGATAAGTGTATTTTATTGTCGGAGAACAATGAAGGCCTAAAGAAGGAACTTAGTTTTGTTAGGGGGAGGGTTAATTGCTTAGAGGAATCTTTGCATCAAACGGAGGAAACCAAGAAGGCAACTGCTAAAGACATAAGTCTTCGTACCAAGTTGATAACGGATTTGGTTATGCAGATGGCACTTGAAAGAGAACGCCTCCAAAAGCAGGTTCCCAGTATTATTACTCCTTCCGTACCAAAATAATTGTCCACAATTTTATTTTAGTTCCCAAACAAGTGTTCACTTTCAAAAGTAAAAGTAAGTGCCTACTTTCCAGTTCTACCCTTAATTATGAGATGGATAAATTCATTACTCCCTCCATTATTAAAGGTCAAATTGTCATCTAGTTTATTTAGAAGTGTAATAATTACACATTTCTAAACTATGTGCCTTTTTCATTGTGTCATTTATTTTGGGACAGAGGGAGTATATTCTAATGTTTATCCTATCGTTGACCTATTTCAGATGCCCCCCAAGTTCATTTATGTTCAGTATCAGACTTTCTTGCATAACCATCACATTGTTAGACATGTTATTCCGAGCCCAAGTTCAGAACTTATTTCATGTTCTTTTTGTCAAAATATTGATGGGCATTGCCATGAGGCTACTGCCTACAGGCCTAATTAGCTTGCTGGCCTTTTTGGCTATGATTCTTGTTGTTAAATAGGTTTTCATGGGATTAGTATAAGTAAATAGAGTTGGTATTGAAAAATATAACCCTTTTTCATCTTTGTGTCTTAATGGCTCCACGTATGCATGCAGATATCTTCATTGAAACATGAGAATAAAATCTTGGTAGCGCGCTTGAAGAAAACAGAAGGTCCTGCTGTAAAAGTTAGCCATGGTGATATAGCTAGCAGTACAGACCATAAGCTTTCTGAGAATGACTTCATTACCATGACTGGTGTAGAAAACAAAGAATCATTATCAACCACTTTCAAGGTAGATTAATTATTGCTTGCTTTTAACAACTTTCTTAGACCATCTCCGACCCCTTACACTATTTTGGTGTAAACACCAATTCTTCTCCAACCTGTTACACTATTTTTTACACCAAAATCGAAGAATATTTCTTAGTATATTTCTATTTAATTATTTTTGTATGGATTTTCATCAATACCCCTATATTAATTAACTTTACAAGTTATACCTTGGCTGAAATTTTGTATTAGACATCTTAATTTGTATATAGTAGTTGAAGAATGTCCCACATGCCTACAGCAAATTATGGTCCTACCCCTGCATTTGGCTGGGATACTAATTGAGTAGCTTGAACTTATCCCTTGGGTAGAGGAAAGGTCTACATACATTTTACCCTCTTTAGACCCTATGTCCGTATAGGATTTACTGGGTTCGTTTGGTTTGGTTTATGTGATACCCAGAGTGTTATTGGTTACTTATATGCAGTATTTTTACTTTTCAGCCAGAGAAGGCATGCAACGAGACTGTAATGGGCCCCACTGGTTCTGCATCGGAGCTTGAGGTTGCCAGAAACATCGATGCAAGGGAGCTTAAACTAAAAGGCATTCTATTAGTAATCCTCATACTAATCATGCCACTTTGCGGGTTACTTCTCCATCAAACTCAGATTCAATAAGTCCAAGCAGTTGACGTAGATGGTTTTCAGCATCTGGTTCATCCAAAATCTCAAGTCTGTAATACGGGTTAAACACAAATGCTTGCTAAAAGTTACAGATTAGTTGGTCTGGGTGGAAATTTGTTGTATCTTTTTCAAAAAGCAGCCAAGATTTGGTTCTATCCCCTCCAAAGAGCTAAATGACCATGCTTAGCTAGGTCATGTCTTTTCCATAGCTAATATCAACAAATCCAACTCAATGTGCAAGTTTAATTGCATGAGGTGCAAGCCATTATAGCATATATTGGTAAGGATTTGTTGATTATTCTTCTGGAAAAAGGATTAGCCTTTTTATTTTCGTTTTTTTCTTCTTTGTATAGATGTAGGGAGATGAGGATGGAACTTGGTGCTAGAAAGTTGTTTTGAGAATTTTTATAATGCAACCCCAGCCTTGGTTTAAAAAGGATTAAGTTTGTGTTTTGGTTTTGAAGACCAATTAATATTTTTAGGTTATGTTGAACAAATTTAATCTTATAGCTTAATTAATAATCTTATATTCTGTTATGAATCCAATTACACGAAATAGACAGATGATTTCAAGCTCGAGAGGTCACATTTGGGAGGCAGTTTTGTACACATTTTGGAACTATTGTAACAACTCGAATGACACGTTTGAGGTTGTCGCCCGTTTTTTGCTCTTCAACACCTCTCGTCCCATTGGATTTCCAAGCGGGCCAAAGGTTTATCTTTGTCGTGGGTGGAGTTGTGTTGGGGATTTAGCTCTCTTGGCTTGGCTAGTTTGAGTTTCTTTGCTTCGTTTTGAGTTTCGTTTTTTTAGCTCCGGTTTATTTGTATCTTGTTTTTTTATTTAGTTAATATAGTCTGTTGTTTGCTTTTTTAAAAAGAAACTGTAAATTATTGAAAGCTACGATCAAAACCCATTAAATTCTATGAAGATTTTAGTTTATGAATTCAAACAAACCCTCTACTTCCATGGGTTTCAATTTAACTTATTTGGAGTCATAGTCATGTCGTCCGGGTCCTTTTTTTGCAAATAATGATGAAAAAACCCAAACTATACCGTAAATTGTGTAATTTAAGGGGTGATAAATGAAATTATCTCAAAAAGGGAGGCAAAAACTGAAAATTTCAAAACACTTCCATGTGTTATTGTCATCAAATGGCCCCACCATACCAGAAAACCAACCCCACCCACCCACAGTTCCGTGATCGGACCACCGTCGCCGTCGCCGTCCCCGTCCCTTTCCTGACCGAAGCTTCCAATTCTCACATCTGCACCATTCAGATTAGATCTCATTATGAATCTGAAATCTTTTTTCTCTACTGTTATAGAACATTGTGTTTGGTGGTAGGTTACATCTTTTGCCGAAAGATATGGCGGTTGGTGTACGGACCGGCAGAGGCGGCGGAGGATCTGTGTTTTCCTCCGCCCTACGCAACTTTTTTTCTTACCGGATCTTCGTCTCCGCTATGTTTACTCTCCTTTTCTTGGCCACGGCCTCCATACTTTTCTCTTCCCACCACGCACATTTCTCTGAGAACTCTGTAAGTCTCTCAAGAGCACCCTGCTAAGTGTACCATAAGTATTAATGTGATATTATGAATGCAGCATTTATTTGTCGTAATTTATTTGGCAAGTTTCATTATGTTATATGGATGCATCAATTAAGGTCTGAAATTTTAAAATTGACGTATTATAGCTTATAATTTAGTTTAACCTATGAATAATTAAGCCTGTTTCGTGCAGCAGGAAACGTTTGATCTGACGTTCCTGTTAATAGAAGTTGATAATTTGTGCTTAAATTTATGGCTAGCAAATAATGTTTTTAATGCAATTGAAATTATCATCAGATGAACAGTATCACTTCAGAATTATAAATAGCTATTGTGTTATTTAAGATGTAGGAACAAAGGAATTGCCTACTGAAGTTCTTTTAAATTGTTTGATTGAAATCTTACAGAAGATGCAAACAACTGGGAGAGCATACATGCACAGGACCTTTCTAACATTGAAATCGGATCCGTTAAAGACTAGGTTAGAATTGATACATAAGCAAGCCAGTGATTATATTGTGCTTGTGAATGCATATGCTGCTTATGCAAGGAAGTTTAAGCTCGAGATATCTAAACAGCTTAAGATGTTTGAGGATCTGGCGCAAAACTTCTCTGATTTGGGTATGAAACCAGCATATCATGATGCATTATTTGAGACTGATGGGCCGTTGGATGAGGAAGTCTTGAGACAATTTGAGAAGGAGGTGAAGGATAAAGTCAAGGTTGCTAGGTTGATGATTGCTGAGACGAAAGAATCTTATGATAATCAGTTGAAAATTCAGAAGTTAAAAGACACAGTATTTGCAGTTCAAGAGTTGCTAATTAAAGCCAAGAAGAATGGTGCATTTGCTAGCTTAATTGCTGCTAAATCAACGCCAAAGAGTTTGCATTGTCTTGATATGCGTCTCATGGGGGAACAGATTGCGAGTCCAGAAAAATATAGAGATGAGGAGCCTAAACCTGAGTTTGAGGATCCATCACTGTACCATTATGCAATATTTTCAGATAATGTGATTGCAGTATCTGTTGTGGTTAACTCAGCTGTAAAGAATGCTGAAGAGCCATGGAAACATGTTTTCCACATTGTCACAGATAAGATGAATCTTGCTGCAATGAAGGTTTGGTTTAAAATGAGGCCAGTAGAAGGTGGTGCTTTTGTGGAGGTGAAAGCAGTGGAAGAGTATACTTTCTTGAACTCCTCATATGTCCCTGTTCTTAGGCAATTAGAGTCTGCAAATATGCAGAAATTATACTTCAAGAATGAACCAGAGAATACAACAAAGGATGCTAACAACAACTTGACATTTAGGAACCCAAACTATATGTCATTGTTGAATCACCTTAGGTTTTACTTGCCAGAGATATACCCAAAACTGCACCGTATATTGTTATTAGATGACGATGTTGTGGTTCAGAAAGATTTGACCGCACTGTGGAAACTTGACATGGATGGAAAAGTGAATGGGGCTGTTGAGACCTGCTTCGGATCCTTTCACCGTTATGCTCAGTATTTGAACTTCTCCCACCCGCTGATTAGAGATAAGTTCAATCCAAAGGCCTGTGCCTGGGCTTTTGGCATGAATATATTTGATCTTGATGCTTGGAGGCGTGAAAGATTAACTGATCGCTACCATTATTGGCAGGATCTGGTATGTCTTTCTGATTAAAAGTTTAATAGTTGCTCATTGCTTGTCTAGAAAGCATTTTTATTTGTGCCTATCAACTTATATTTTTACTAATCCTTTTTCAGAATGAGGACCAGACTTTATGGCAATTGGGGACACTCCCACCTGGACTAATCACCTTCTACTCAAGAACAAAATCATTGGACAAAAAATGGCATGTTCTTGGTCTTGGGTACAATCCAAGTATAAGCATGGATGATATAAGTAATGCTGCTGTGATTCATTTCAACGGGAACATGAAACCTTGGCTCGACATTGCCATGAACCAGTTCAAGCATCTGTGGACTAAATATGTGGATAGTGAAATGGAATTTGTGCAGATGTGCAACTTCGGATTATAGACAAGGACTTTGGCTCAAAAACGATTAAGCATAGGTATGAACTCAGGCCTTTTGTCCATTTTTTCTTCATTTTACCTGTCAATAGTTATGATACTAGGAGCAAACGAAGGATCGTGTGAGGATAGGAGTTAAGCTGAGAAGTGTAACAAGGGATTTGGACCCTTGATCACTTCTAATCTCAAACAAACCCATGAATTCGATTTAGAAGGGAACAGTGTATCTCACTAGCATTTCTAGTGTTTCTCTTCAATTACGATTGATCCAAAGGTGGAGATCTCTTATGACACTTCTCACATAACTTTCATTCTCACCAGAACCCAACCCATTAGGAGCAAAGCTCTCTGCCTTAATTCTTTTCGCCCCGGTGTTGCTATAGTTGAAAATGTTGGTCTCAAATTGAACCAACATGCTTGGGCAACATAAAGGATGTTTTTTTGTAGGAATCCCTGTATGCCAATGAAATAATTTGCGTTGCAATTTGCTTATCATAGAATTTGAAGCAAAACATAGGAAAACCAAAGTCGATCCAACCAATTTGTCTTGATATCTTGATGGTGGGCTTTAAATAAGAAAGCCAAATACTATGAGAAGGTAGCGATTCGTTCATTATTTGAAGATGCATATGTTAACTGTATCGTTCACATATGCATATTCAAATGGATTTTTTCAATGATTCATATATGAATATATGAATCTTTGTCTTATCCCACACTTCTCATGATACGTACAAAGTGTGGTGTAAATGTGTTGTCTCCTGAGTTGAAATTTTGTAACCATTCAACATCTCTCTGCCCATTTGAAATCTTAATGGTCTCCTATGTCCAACCGCTGTACCTTTGACGCTTACAAATGAAAGTTTCTTTGAAAACATTGTAAATGTCAACGCAACCAAATATGCATGATAAAAAATGATATAAAAATCGTAACGGCATGAATTGAACAATTTGATTTTTACGAGCGAGAAAATGTTTGTAATATTTTATTTTAATTTTATTTTAAAGAAAAATATATTTTTAGGAATTCTATAAAAAAACTTATATTTAAAATTTTACGAAAACTTGAATATTTGCAAAATTTTAGGAATCTTATAAAAAACATTTATTCTCTTTAGATAAACGAGAAGGTTAAAGAGAAAATCCCTAAAAAATGAAAAATTGAGGAACATTCTGATAATCATTCATCTAGACGGTTAAATAACTTCAATTACTTGTATACACATATATATACCGGACAAGTTGCTTATAAAATTACTTGTATGGACATGTGCATACCGTGTAGATGAACGGTCATAAATGTGTTCCTTAGTTTTTTATTTTTTTACGGTTTTCTTGAGAATCTGATCCAACGATTATATTTGTAAAAGTTAAAGTCAAAGTCAAAGTACCATTTCATATGATATAACATTTTATTTTTAGAATTTTACAAATAAAATTATAATTCTAAAACCTAAGTAACGTCAAACCGTTCATTTGTACTTGGACCCAAGACCAAGCAAATATCATAATATGCTTTTCATACTTTCACGTGGCTCCAAATATTCATTATATTTCGTTTTTTTTCGTTAAAAAGAGAGAAGAAAAGAAGATGAGGAAAAACATTTATTTGTGTTTTTGAGATTGAAGAAAAAAAAAAGGGGAAGAAAACGAAAATAAATTGTTAATACAGATTTATTTTATACTGGATTATAATTGCGGATAAATGTAATGTTTTAATTGTTCTAATTTTCCTTTTTCTTTCCATCTATTTCCTCAAAACTCATTATAGAAAATTAGGACAATAGCATCAAAACATGCATCCTGAACGACATGTTTCTTGTTTATTATTTTTATTCTTGTTTGATTAAATTGACATCAATTTTGTTATAAAAGTTATTAGTTTTTTATTTATCGAGAAAAAATATAATATAGATACGTTTCTAATATAAAGAAACACTACTTATAAAAAAGTGTTTAGACATGTGGCAAAGAATTGGCTTTTAGGGTGTAGCTCAGTTGGTAAATAGATAGGATGACTCTGTTTAAGTACAAGACATGTTGCGAATTTAATCCCTCCCCTCACGGATAGCCTCGGCCACTAAGTGAGTCAAAAAATCTTCCCTCACATTGATGTCCTTGGAGACGAATTCCGTTTGGGGACGATTAGGATTAACTGTAATCAACTTTTTGTCCAAATAAAAAGGTGTTTAAACAAAAATGTGCAACTTGTAAAAAAAAAAGCAAGGTCCTAAATAGCGTGAACACGTGGCGTGACGACGAAGCCAAACCTCAAGCGTTGGAAGCCATGGCGAGGTCACAACGTTTTTCATGGCGTGGCAAATCTTTATATCATGTATAACATTTATATACATAAATAAATGCTTTCTATTATTATTCAATGAATCAATAATAATAAACAATTTAAATTAAGTTATACATTAATAAATTACAAATATCATGTTACAAAAATCTTGAATTACATCATGATGTATTTCAGACTAACATGACATGAAACACAAGGCTCGATTCAATTTTCAAACAATGAGAAAAAGGCAACGGGGGTTAAATGGAAAGAAATAAAAGTAGAAGTAGGTAACAAATAAAAAAAGGAAAAGGCAACGGGGGTTAAATTGAAAAAAAATCAGAGATGGCTGAACTCACCAACCACCACCAATAAGGACGTCAGAATTGACTCGCTTTCAAGAGGAGCCCGCTCTCTTTATATACTCTCCCTCTCCTCTTCCCCCAATTTCATATCCTCTTCTTTCTACTTTGTTTCGCCAATCAATTTCCAGATCCATTTTCACAAGGTAAGGATTTCTCTTTAATTTCCTTCTGATTGCTAAAACTTATCTGTCACAAGTAATTCCATCGATTCATTGTTTGTTGATCTGTACATGCATGGATGTGTGCATAGATTGGAATGTGACTTGATTTATTATGATTGATGTTGCGCATCCTTGATCGTTAGGAATTACTAGCTCCCAATGCTTTTTGAGATTTACAGTAAAGCTGGATTTGTTTTCACCAAACTCTGTTCTGAAAGTAAATAATTAGTGAAGCGACCTAAAATTGGGGACGGATTTGTTGGCTGATCTTGGGATGTGAATCGTGTTTATTCATCTTTGTACATTTTTTATGTGTGTGATGCCTTTCTTTTTTTATGCTTAACCTGCATGTTTCTGACCTTGGTGGAGATAGAGGGGGTTTACTATTACTTGATTAATTCGACTCCAATTTGGTGTTTATCTCCTTAAACGATCACAAGTTGTAAGGATCAACAACATATCTGTGTCCCCTTTCTTTACTAGCATAATCTACCAAAAGGCTAGTATCAAAATAACATGTCTATTTGTCAAAATATGAAGAAAGGTAGGTAAAATAGTATGTTTTACTCCCTGCATTTTATATCAAAAACATATAAGTAGAGTTTTTTTGGTTCAAACCTTGAACTTTTCGGATGCAAAGTTAATATGGTCATGTTATGCATAAAACACCGTCTATTAGTTACTTTGGATGTTAATTTTCAAATTTCTTCAATCATGAAGTTGGAAAGTGATCTCATTCGAAAACTCAAGTCAAAAGTATATCTTTTTGTTTCCTATCAATGGGGGATTTTGTTTTTTGAAAACAGTCAAATTATCATTAGCTGAAGAAAAACTAAGATATACATCAAAGATGATTGCCGAAACTAAGATACAAAATTGCCAAGATCTAATGCTTTAACTAAATATATCTAGTTTTTCTTCAGCTAATGATAATTTGACTGTTATTTTAAAACTATGATATACATCAAAGATGATTGCCGAAACTAAGATACAAAATTGCCAAGATCTAATGCTATAACTAAAGAAGATCAATTCTAATGCTCCTATGAATTTGCAAGCTAATAAAACCAAAGGACTATTAAACAAAAAGTGTAAATTACAAACGTTTTGGTATTAGCATACTTTTCTCTAACAATATGAGATACTTATAGTTATAAAGGAACATTTGAATATGGTTTTACCGCTAATAGTTTTTATCAACTTATATAGCAATGACATCTGAAAATTCTGTTTGATTTGTTAGTTTTTATGATAAATTGTTGTTTGCTGGTTGTATGTCTTCGGCATGTATCAGTTTTGAGAACAATTAATCTCTATATCGTGCATTATCTTTCATCTATGCATCTGGCAATTTACTATTTACCATCTTTTTTCTGGACATATAAAAAAGCATAGGTTTTGATGAACAATATATGACTTCAGCAGATGATTATTGGTCAAGTAAGCTATATTGTGGTTGTAGTTGTACTTACGTCTTAAAAATACTTCATATTGATGATGTAAAGTGTTTATCTTGTGAAATAAATCACTTTCTAGTATTATATACATGAATGGTAGATTACTGTGAACATATTTGGTGGTTATCTGTGTGTTCCTGATAGTGATAGGACCTTCACACGGTCACACTAGTTGCCAGCATCCACGTGTCCCTAAGAAGTACATTGCCAATAACTTGTGTTTTTAAGTGCTAGCAATGCTTGCATTCCAGGATCTGGATTAAATACAAGTGTCATGTTCTATTTGGTAAAGGAGCTCAGGTGGCATAAGGCATTTGTTTGAAATATTCAACCTAAAAAACAGAAAGAAGGATTATCAGTTAGCTAAGATTGTCCGCCTGAAGAATCTTTTCAGTACTGAAAACTACTAAATTGGAACCAATAAGAAGTAATGGAACAAATGCATGAATGTGAGGGACAGTCTCTCTAAAGTGCATGATTTTTTTTTACATTAATTATTTCTGTTCAGCTCTTGCGCTGAATTCTACATGAATGTTTCGGATTACTTTGTTTATCTTAACTTTATGCCAGATGAAGTCAAATCAACCCGTTTTGATGAATGGCCCATTTAACTTGTCAGTTTAGAAAATGGAATCTAATGTGCTTCATAATATGGGCAGCATGATAATAAACATGAGTCAAATTAGTAAAACTATGTGCATCAAGGTAACAATTGGGCAACACAAATACTTTAACAGGGCGACTCTCTTGTTAATTGTTTCATAACTTGAAGAATTCACAATACTCATTTCTCTTTTATTTATTATCATTATTATTACTATTTCAATCGTATAGTTTTAATAAGTAATGAAAATTTTCTACAACCACTTCTACTCCATAGTTAGTTTGAAAATTCATATCCAGGTATTTCTTGAGGTGAAAACTTTTCAAAGGTTTTAATATCTTAGTTCAATTGTTTAATACAGTTAAAATTCTATTATATTAATATAATCATCAATTCTTTCTCTTTAACCATATATTTGTTGTTGATATGAAATCTTTATTCATAATGCAATAGTTTTAATTGTTAAATGTGGAAAAAGTCAAATGTTTGTTGTAATATTAGTAAATTTTATCTTTTTATGTCGGTGTATGTAGAAAAAATGGTGTTTGCATACAACAAGTCAAGCTAACGTGACTCAATTTATATAACCCCTGGTCCATTATGGTCCATTGTAGAAAAACTTCTAGTTAACCTGTCAATTTGATCCATTAGCTATTTGGCCAGTTAAACGATCTGAGCGAAACAAGTTTGCTACCTCTACTTACTATTATATAGGAATACATAAACTTTCACGTGAATAGGCATTTGTCCTCTTTCTATGTCGGATCTTTTATAGCACTACTGTTCTTCATCATGCTGTTCTTATTTATCTAAGGCGTTATCTCAGTTTGATATTTGTTTTTACAGAAAAAAACATGGCTGATGAATTGAAGCCAACAAGAATAGGCCTTGCCGGTCTTGCTGTCATGGGTCAAAACCTGGCCCTCAACATTGCTGAGAAAGGGTTCCCGATTTCTGTCTACAATCGTAGTACCATCAAAGTTGATGAGACTGTTGAGCGAGCTAAAAAGGAAGGAAACCTTCCAGTTTTTGGCTTCCATGATGCTGAATCATTTGTTCACTCGATCCAGAAACCTCGGGTGATTATCATGCTTGTCAAGGCTGGTGCACCCGTTGACCAAACAATCAAAACCTTATCTGCATTCATGGAGAAAGGCGATTGCATCATTGATGGTGGTAATGAGTGGTATGAGAACACCGAAAGAAGAGAGAAAGCCATGGCTGAACTTGGTCTTCTCTACCTTGGAATGGGTGTTTCTGGTGGTGAAGAGGGCGCACGAAATGGACCATCCATGATGCCTGGAGGGTCCATGGAGGCTTACAAGTACATTGAGGACATTGTTCTCAAGGTAGCAGCTCAAGTACCCGATAGTGGCCCATGTGTGACGTATATTGGCGAAGGCGGTTCAGGCAACTTTGTCAAGATGGTTCATAACGGAATTGAGTATGGTGATATGCAGCTAATTTCAGAGGCTTATGATGTACTAAAATCCGTTGGGAAGCTCTCAAATGAGGAACTATACAATGTATTCTCGGAATGGAACAAAGGAGAGCTTCAAAGCTTCTTAATTGAGATCACTGCTGACATATTTGGCATCAAGGATGATAAGGGAGAGGGTTATTTGGTCGATAAGGTCTTGGATAAAACTGGCATGAAGGGTACCGGCAAATGGACCGTCCAACAAGCTGCTGATCTTTCAATTGCTGCTCCTACTATTGCAGCTTCTCTAGATTCAAGATTCCTTAGCGGTTTAAAGGACGAGCGAGTAGAAGCTGCAAAAATCTTTAAAGCAGGCGGGTTTGATGATATCTTAGCAGATGAAAAGGTGGACAAGGAAAAATTAATCGATGATGTAAGACAAGGCCTATACGCTGCCAAAATATGTAGTTATGCACAAGGGATGAATCTGATACGTGCCAAGAGTGTCGAAAAAGGATGGAATTTGAAGCTAGGGGAGTTGGCTAGAATCTGGAAGGGTGGGTGCATCATTCGAGCCATATTCCTGGACCGCATCAAGCAGGCCTATGACAGGAACCCAGAACTTGCGAACCTGTTGGTGGACCCTGAATTTGCAAAAGAAATGATCGAGCGTCAGTCTGCATGGAGAAGAGTTGTATGCCTGGCTATCAATTCAGGCATCAGTACTCCGGGTATGTCTACTAGCCTTGCTTACTTTGACACTTATAGGAGGGAGAGGTTGCCTGCTAATTTGGTGCAAGCTCAAAGAGATTACTTTGGCGCCCACACATACGAGAGGACCGACATGGATGGTTCCTTCCACACCGAGTGGTTCAAACTTGCCAAGCACACAAAAGCCTAAACCTTCTCCAGGTTCAGTTCTATTCTGTTCATCTTCTCATCCAAACTATAATAATCCTATTTCCTGAATTGATGCATATCCAATAAATCCTTTTTGATCAAGTCTGCTTTGGATATGTGTTACATTTCCAGATGTAAGTTAATTGGCTTGTTTTTTTTTTTTTTTTTTCATGAGAGTTTTTGGTAGTTTGTTGGGTATGCAAATTCATTTGCTTAGTTTCCTGAATTAGCTTCACCCAACTTGTACCCTAATTGTGGATTCTATTTGTCAATGTCAGCTCCTATGTACTAGTATTATTTCAACACATTCACAAGTTAATATTTAAACTATGGACATTCTAGAATACATTGTTTTTAGAAAAATAGCTTTTGGTTATTCGTGTTTAGGTGGAGGTGCAAATTCACTTGCTTTGTTTTTTGAATTGCCTTGTTCATCTTCTTCTACACTTTATATGTCATAACAATTCCTACACATGCTAGTAATCCTCGTATTATTTCGACATAAAACAAAAACCAAAAGTAATATTTAAGGCATGTCAATTAGCATCTTAATGGGACTCTCACAGCTTATTCGGTCAGCTATACATGATTGTTTGGTGGTGGCTTAATGACATAGAAAGGCTTCTTCCGTAAGTTTCTAGGGGGGTGCTTTATGCATAAATCGAAGTTTTCCAAACCTGCCCTTCCTAATGAAAAGATGCTTCTCCCAAACAAAAACAATATTAATCTATACAAACTGATTAATTCACACTGACAACTTTATTCATACAAGATTTAATGAGAAACGAAGCAAATAACCCCATAGACTATGGACATTCTAGAAGTATGCTTGGACATCGCTCCCTCATGTAAGGTGTTCCATTATGTCAAGTAGCAATGGGGTTTTAAGTAAGCGGTATTGATCATCTCAACCTAGCTAGTATTCTTGTGTGATTCATGTTGGGCTATAGGACCTCAAGACAGAGAAGTCGGATACATCAAACTGAATGCTACTTTTTTAAGCCCTCCCTTTGCGAGCATCCATCATGGGATCTTCAATACACATCTTCCCAGTAGGCTAAAACCTCTCGATCATAACTGGAATCACATTGATACAATATATCATTTAATAAGTTAAATATATCACTTCAAAACAACTGTTACAAACAATAACAAGTACAACCTCACGGGAATGGGAATTGTGGTCAATGTCTCTCCAAGATGCCCAAGTTCTATTAATCGTGATGATATTGCACCTTCCCAAAGCCTCACCAAACCTATACTATGGAAACAAAATATGATCAACTATTCTGTTCAATATATATACATTTTAAACTTGTATCTAATTTATTTTCTTTGAAAGTTTGGCCAATTAAAATCAGACGTTGCTTTCGTAAATTTGAGTGAGTGCCAAGTGTAGAATAATGAAAATTGACCTCTCTTATCCATAGAAAACTACTCATTAATTACCAAATTCTCACCGGCCTTATTACCACCTACATTCATTTCATCAGTCCCAACTTTGCATAGGATCATTCCGACCCCCACCACCCGCCGGTAGTACGTCACCTGCATGTCTCTCGGAAAATCTTGCTCATCGACTTTTTCCGGTCAGTATAGTGATCGTTAGGATGACAAAATCGGAGCATATAGGTAAAGAACTGATCGTAATTCAATTATTATTCTCATCTACTTACATACATAATTACTGGAAATTTAACGAAAAAACCCAAAGTTATTGACGGAGGAATCTAGAGAGAGGTGTCGGAAAGATGGGTGGTGCCGGAGGTATGAACAGGTTCAGCTAAGTAAGTCGGAAGTTTGTCTCCGGGCATAAAGACGACAATCTCCGGGGTGACATTGGCTTCATCACCAGCGTCGTACACATGCCTGGCCACCTTGTGAGAATGATCACGACCTCCGACGTCAGGCGCCGATCTGCGCCTCCATCGAGAATAGGCTACAATTAACATAGCCACGAGTACGAGAGCAAGCATTGTACCTATGCCAACAAACCAATAAATCATGGGCGAATCCACCCGCAATGAAGACGGTGACGGTGATGGCTCAATGCTGCTGTGTTTTCCGGCGGCTCTGCCATCGCTGCTTGTGTGTGCATTGCTGTTAAAAACTGTATAGAAGAAAGGAGAAACGTGTAAATAGCTGCAAACGTACAACTTGCATTAGCATTAAGTACAAGTCCTTGAACCAAGGTTAATTATGGGACTTCCGATTGGAGTGAAAATGTTATAAAATTGGTAATAATTAATAGATTCTGGAAGAGATTTTATAAAATAGTGAAGATTGAATTTAAATTCGAACACGTCATATAATAATGAAAATAATATAAAGTTGTAAGTTTAAATAATTCTTTTTTTAAATCTTAATCCATAATTTTAATTTGAAAATGGGTTTTGTAAGAGAAAATACTATGAATTAAAAGAATTTAAGAAACCTGAAATAGTAAAGAAAAAGAAGGGGAGAGAACAAATTCAAGTGTTGAAAAAGGGGGGAAGAGTATAGATGCAAGACTTTAGGGTTATAAAAGATGGATTTATGCCAAAGGATGATTTGGTTTTCTAAAGCCATGCCACCCTTTGAAATTTATATCTCTCTCACTTTTATATCTCTTGGATAATATTCGACAAATGGAAGAAACAAAGTAAATGTAGTACTTAGATTTTTTTTTTTCTTTTTTTTTTTTTTGTATATTTTTAACAGAAGATTTGTTTCAGTGGTATTAGACCACGAATGTACCAAAGATCTCTTTCCTTTATATTTTGATTAGGTTTTGATGATCTTTTTAATGAATAATTTGGGTTTTTAAACATAAACTATAATATAGGATTCTTGTTCGTTCCATATCAAAAACTTGCATTCATGTGTTCTTGATATTTAGATCAAGCAATGAGTTACAATATGCCCTTTTTTTAAAAGGTCTTTGATCTAGCGGTATCGTAACCTTTAGACTCCTAGGAGGTCAGAGATTCAAACCTCATCATAAGTGAGGAAGGTGTATAAGTTTATTTGTTACATTTGTTGTATATAAATATTATAATTCAAAAAATAATATGCCATTTTTAATTGCATACTTGTAACATCCATATTTCATTGTTTTGGTTTTATACAAACAACTAACAAGTAGAATAAGGAAATGTTTCTGGACCAAGACAATTAATTTATTGTGCATTCATTTGAATAGTTGGATTAAGCCCATTTTAATTAGACCCAAGAAGAGAATAATATATTTGGGTCAGGCCCATTTATAGAAAAGCCCAAAAGCCAGAATTTTGACCTTAAAGATGTTTTGATTTGAATTTTGTGCCTAGTTACAACATCGTCATGTCAAAATTCATATTGGATTCATTACTAGGTCGATTTATAATATCGTAACTGATTCGAGACTAAATCTAGTTTAGAGTTAGGCCAGAATTTAAGAGTTGTCACCTTAATGTACCGCTCCAATTCGATATCTGTAGCCATTAATTAAAAGTATATACTCGATTATAGTTACTAGATCTCCAACTTACATACTCTTAAAGTCTCAAATTAAGGGTTTCATTTAAAAATCGAGTGATGACTAATTCTTAATTTATATAAAAGACAAATTGTAGGGGTTGTGGCAACTCGAATCATGAGATTGACACGGTAAGTTCATCAACCGTAAAGCAGAATTGAAACAATATTATACATATTGTATGTTATGAATTTCTAGCTACCCATTTATAATATATGGATATGCTTAGACATGTTACAATAGTCAAAACTCATCATTTACATCTTCCATGATCAAATTTTGATGAACTAAAAATAAAACTTATAAATTATCAATTGAAATACCACAACTGATATTGGAATAATTGAATAAAAGTCGTAGGATGGAGTGAGTGTGTGTGTGTGTATGTGTATGTGTGTGTGTGTGTGTGTGTTCATGCATGTATACATAATTAATTAAGATTGAGAAAGATTTAACTGTTGGAGGTTAGGGGTAGGACCGTAGGAGTAGCAAGATAAGAGGGATTGATGTCTCCGGGCATTACAACCGACAGATGAAGCTTACTGCTTGTGGTTGATGATGATGAAGAAAAAGAAGAAGAAGAGGCGAATTTGTTGTAAAAGCATGCTAGAATTATCAATGCACATGATGAAATTACACTCAGCATCACAATCACACCACCCACTATTACGTACGCAACCGAAGAATTCCAACGGAATACGCTCCCACTCTGTTGTGTAGCAGTAGTCGTTATAGGTGTCATCTTGAAGCTCACATTTTCTTCCATCCATCCACCTCTTTAGTATATGTATGTATAGATATAGATATAGATATAGAGATGGAGATATAAATAGAGAGGGGTTTGCAAGTGTGACATTAATGATTCTTTTACTTTACGTTAAATAAATAATGTGTTTCATAATTGAATATAACAAGAAAGTCGAGGTTTATATTCCCTCAATTCATAAATAATTTTAATTTATTATAATAATCAAATATCCAAAATCTTCATCATATTTATATTAAAAAAAAACTTGTAGACCAAAACTCAGTTGATCCATGTTTTTCACAATTAATCGAATTTTAGGTTTTATATGAATCAAATATATGATAACTTATATAATTCGGTGATTTTAATGATTGTTTTTTTAAGTATATATAATATTTATATACGGTAAGTAGAACAAATAAACTTATACACCCTTCTCACTTTTTATGAAGTTTAAACCGTTAACCTCCTAAAATGCCAAAGACTCGTATACTATTAGGTCAAAAACCCTTTAATAATTTCAATAATTGTTAAATATATAATTAAGTAAAAAAAACAAATATTGCTTCATGGTTAATGAAACAATTTATTTATTATATTAACTAGAAAATAGAAATGATATTGAAAGTGACAATTCAAGGTGAATAACCATTTTGGTGGCAAACAATTAATAATGGATTAATTATAGAGATATATACGTTTATCTAACTTTTCACCCCCAATTAATTCTTCCTGCTTATATCATTCGTATCATGTTCTTGTTAAATTTTCATAAGTTAGGTGTCAATATCAGATGTTAATTTCTTTTTTTTTTAAAAGATCGGTTAAACTGTATTATTGTTTATTAAAAAAAATTTAGATAGTCAACATTAAGATGTATTTTTTTAATTTATAATGCATGACTGGACTTGATTCTAACATTAAAAGGGGTGTATATAGCAATACACGTTTAAAAAAAAAGTATATTGATGGAAAATTTGAATTTATATGCTTAACATGCCTTATTTGTTAAAAATATGATTCAATGTTCAGTTATCGAGAAATTATGCTTTGCAGTTACGTTGTCATTGTTTTTATAGCTCATTTTAATCGATAATGTTTATAATCTCAATCTCTCTCTCTCTCTCCCCAACCGACACTAGCAAGGCATTATGGGTAAGTAAAAGTAAGTACACTAATGATAAATGTACTTATGCGTATAATAAGTGAATATTAAATACTATTGAAGTCATTTGGATTCGATAGATTCTTGACAGCGATCGATGTTTGCTTTATCGTGTTTTTTTAAATTATTTTTGCCGCATAGAGATTTAGATGTGAACGCATTTGTTTATTACAATTATTGGATTTTCAAAGGTGTAAGAAATCAACGATCCCAATAGAGGAAGTGACGTATTTACAACTAACTGACATTTTTGTTTGAAGAACTTCAAGTATGATCGATATATAGGACTATCAATGTCTTCAATATATTTTTAGCTTTGTTTTAGAATGATCGTTGTGACGTGATATTGTCATCGTCTCTCATTTCATTGAATATGTACTCCATAAACATTTGATATATATATATATATATATATATATGTGTATATATATATATATATATATATATATATGAATACTTAGGTTACTCTTCTTGAAACATCTAATGTCCTAACTCTCATTTTATTGTTGTTGCAACATGCATTGAGCGCTATCATGTGAGTACCAAACTTCCATTGAGCATCAGTAGAAGAAACGGACAAAAGCCCCTTATTCGAGTCTTGCATAGTGGGTTGGATATCCAGATTAATAAAAAAAATCGATGTCTAAAATCCAGATAATGTATATATTTAATAATTAAACATTATGATACAAAAAAATGTCTTGTAACACCCTGAAATAATTTCGGTCAATGTTGAAATGCTTTCATGTACCATCATTTGCAAAACATAAACATAAACATAAACCATCAAGGGGGCTGTAAGCCTTTTTAGATATTTTATTTCCACCGATGCAAATGGTCATTTTGCAGCCTTTTTTGATAGTGCATTTCTAAGATCACGACCTACACTAGTCTCATTCATTTCCATTTTTGCTAGAGAGATTAACGATGAGAAAAGAAATCGGGAGTTGGGTCAGGGTTCAAGTAAAATATAGAAGAGAGTGAACGACAATATTCTTAACAAGATGGAGTATTTTGAAGAAGGAAAAAAAGTTACACTTTTAACACTAAAACTACTTTAAATAATCCTAACAAAACCTATTTTTACTTAACTAGAAGCGTACTCGCGCAATGCAGCGAGATACATCGTGATTTTAATATTTCATTTTATTCTTTATCTCAGCTGATGTTATAATATGGTTTTATGTGGTTTTAAGAAAGCGATAATGTTTTATTTTTGAATAAAATATATGTTTGAAGATATTAAAAAATTTGACAAAAATATATCGATATTAGTATCAAATTAACTATTTGAAATTCCTCATTTTTGTGTAMTTTTTTAATTCAATTTTTTATAATTTAATTTATGTACAATAACRAAGTAATTTATATTTGGTTTAATAATCTAATTTTTTTATAAATATAATAATTATTTATTTTGTTGGAACTCGATAATTATTCTAATTATATATTAGATTTTTTATATTTTAAAAATGAGATGTTCATTCTCTATTTGATTAT